TCCAGGCCCAGGCTGGGAGGCAGGTGTGGAGGCTGGGTTCCGGCATCGGTGTATTCTGGAGCCCCAGCTCTGGGAGACCCTCCAGCCAGGGCAGAAGGGGCCTGCGAGGGTTTGGTGGCTGCTGCAGCGGCCCCACCTGAGGCTCAGAGCTGGAGGGACGCCAGGGCTGGTGGTGACAGCTCTGTTCCCACTGCGCGGTGGTCCCCTTCCGTCTTCCCACTATTCCTTCTGTGTGGTGTGGCTTGGCCTCCCATGGTGTTTTTCCGCATGTCTCTGGAAATGATGCCTTGGCTGGAAATGGGCATATGCCTGCCAAGGCAGGGGGACACTGCCCTGGCTGACTTCTCAGGCATCACTGGGGACAGTGTGCTCCCCAGGGTGGGGGGGGGTGGGGCGCGCGTTCTCTGTCCTCCTCATCTCTCCTCCCTGCCCCAGCAAGCTTTGCAAGGCATACGGTGCTCACAGAGCCAGGGCCTGGATGGGGACAGGAGGGGTCCTACTCAGTCCTGCAGGGTGGTGCCTCAGCCCACCCTCCACCTCCCTCTGTGGTGTGCGTGTGCATGCGTTAGTGTCTACAGGTGGCCCTCCACCTGCTGGCGCAGGAGGAGCCGCAGGCTGCATGGGTGTGCGCACCAAGAGCCGAGCGAGGTGCTCCGTGCGTGCAAGGCTGTCTGCCCTGTGTGTCACGTGCACCCGGACCTCACGAGGTGTCATTCACAGCACAATGCAGTGAAGGAACAGTGTGGCCCTTTGTTCTTGTCTGAAAGGAAGAATGAGCAGCTTGTCTGCCTTAGGCGTGTGGCTCCCCAGAAAGGCTGGGTCCTCCTGGGCACACATCCACCTGCCTGTACTGCCTCCCGCAGGGCCCAGCACCACACAGCCCCCCTCCCAAGACCTCTGGCCCCGTGTGCCTGGGGTGGCTGGCCTAGTCTGGTCCCTCCTTGCTGTCCTGTGATGGGAATGGGCCCCTCCTCCTCCTTTAGGAAACCACCATCAGCGGCCTGACCCCGGAGACCACCTACTCCATCACTGTGGCCGCCTACACCACCAAGGGGGACGGTGCCCGCAGCAAGCCCAAAATTGTCACGACGACGGGGGCAGGTGAGTGAGGGATTGGGGTCAGAACTGAGGGCGGGGCCGCGAGGAGGGCAGGGCCGGAGCCCAGTGCGTGGTTGTTCAGTCCCAGGCCGGCCCACCATGATGGTCAGCACCACGGCCATGAACACGGCGCTGCTCCAGTGGCACCCGCCCAAGGAGCTGCCTGGGGAGCTGCTGGGCTACCGGCTGCAGTACCGCCGAGCCGACGAGGCGCGGCCCAACACCATCGATTTTGGCAAGGACGACCAGCACTTTACAGTCACTGGCCTGCACAAAGGGGCCACCTACATCTTCCGGCTCGCTGCCAAGAACCGGGCCGGCCTGGGCGATGAGTTCGAGAAGGAAATCACGACCCCCGAGGACGTGCCCAGCGGTTTCCCCCAAAACCTGCGCGTGATAGGGCTGACCACGTCTACCACGGAACTGATCTGGGACCCCCCGGTGCTGGCGGAGAGGAACGGGCGCATCACCAACTACACTGTGGTGTACCGTGACATCAACAGCCAGCAGGAGCTTCAGAACGTCACTGCCGAGACCCACCTGACTCTCTCCGGCCTCAAGCCAGACACCACTTACGACATCAAGGTCCGCGCACGCACCAGCAAAGGCGCTGGCCCGCTCAGCCCCAGCATCCAGTCCCGGACCATGCCCGTGGAGCAAGGTGTGTGCTGCGGGCACGTGGCTACGCCTGGGGACTTCTCTTCTCCTTGACTCACTGACCTTTGGCGACTGTGAGCCACCAACCTCTGGTGTGTGACACTCCAGTCTCTCGTGGCCATGATCACTAACCTCTAGTGAACAGGCGCCACATTCTCCGTGTGTGGCCCCTGACCTCTGCTGTCCTTGGCCTACTGACCTCTGCTGGGCAACTCCAATCTCTCGTGACCTTGGCCCACTGATCTCTCATGACTGCATCACCGCTCTTGGGTATGCAACACTAACCTCTTGGGGCCATGACCCCCTGGCCTCTAGTGAACACGGTCCACTGTGCTCTGGTGCGCGGCCACATGGCTTCTCGTGATCGAGTCCCACTGACCTCTGGTCACTCTGACCTGCTGTCTGTAAGCTCCAGCTTCACCCGCGCCCTTCTGGAGAGCCCGACCAAGGGTCCTGTGGCTCCTGTCCCACTCGGTTCTCACCGTGAGGAAGAGCCGGGGCTGGGAGCTGAACCGTGTGCAGTGGAAGCTGGTGGGAGTGGGGGTTCTGGCCTTCTGCAGCCATCCCTAACCCCCTGCGCCCTGCCCCCCCATCTCTTCCCAGCGGGGAGCCCTCCAGGCCTATTTATTCCCCTTAGGCAGCCAGAGCTGACGCCTCCCTCCTTGCATCCCAACAGTGTTTGCCAAGAACTTCCGTGTGGAGGCTGCAATGAAGACATCCGTGCTGCTCAGCTGGGAGGTGCCCGACTCCTACAAGTCAGCAGTACCCTTCAGGGTAGGTGGGGCCAGCTGGGCCTAACACAGTCCCCGCCCGCGCGTCTGCGTTTCACAGAGTTCTGTCCCGCAGGCCTGGGAGGGGGCCCCTCATCCAAACACGCTGCCTGCGCCCCCCCCCCCCCCCCCCCCCCCATGCAGATCCTGTACAACGGGCAGAGCGTGGAGGTGGACGGGCACTCCATGCGGAAGCTGATCGCAGACCTGCAGCCCAACACCGAATACTCGTTTGTGCTGATGAACCGCGGCAGCAGCGCAGGGGGCCTGCAGCACCTCGTGTCCATCCGCACGGCCCCCGACCTCCTGCCACACAAGCCCCTGCTGGCCTCAGCCTACATCGAGGACGGCTGCTTCACCCTCACCATGCCCCATGTGCAGGAACCGGCACTGGTCAGGTGTGCAGACACACCTGGGGGCCGGGGGCGGGGCCAGCCGTGCAAGAGCCAGGGGAGGACGGTCCTGATTCTCCTCTGCCTGGCCAGGTGGTTCTACATCATGGTGGTGCCCATCGACCGCATGGGAGGGAGCATGCTGGCGCCACGGTGGAGCACACCCGAGGAGCTGGAGCTGGACGAGGTGCCTGGGGACCCGGCCGGGGCAGCCCTGATGGCAGTCCCACTGCACTGGTTGGCTGTGCCCTGGGGACTCCCCACAAACTGGAATTATTCTCTGATTGGCAGCCTGCCCGTGTCTCCGAGGAGACGCACTCTGAGCTGGCTCCTGGGAGCTTTCAGAGAACTCCTGGAGGGCTTACTGAGACCTCCCCAGAGGGGTTTGTGGAGGATCCCCAGGGGTGCGAAGTGGCAGAGACATCTCTCAGATCTAGAGAATCTCAGGCCCTGTGAGCCTTGCAGTCTCCAGGGGTCTAGAGGCCACAGACGGTCTTGAGTGGACCCCCAGCCCTCTCTGGTGAGGGTGAGGGGCAGGTTGCCCAGTGGGCCCCTTCTTAGCAGGTTGGCTGGGAGGAGTGGCACTGCCTGCTGGTGTTTGGCGTGATTCTGTGTGGCCAGAGAGTCAGGCCAGCCTCAGGCCCTTAATGTGGACGGCAAGCCTAGCCTCAGCCCAGGAGTGTGTGCTCCAAGGCCCCTGTGTGACTCCTGTGCTCTCCGCCCAGCTGCTGGAGGCCATCGAGCAAGGCAGTGCGGAGCGGCGCCGGCGGCAGGTGGAGCGGCGCCGGCGGCAGGCGGAGCGGCTGAAGCCATACGTGGCCGCTCAGGTGGACGTTCTCCCGGAGACCTTCACCCTGGGGGACAAGAAGAACTACGAGGGCTTCTACAACCGGCCGCTGTCTCCAGGCCTGAGCTACCAGTGCTTTGTGCTCGCCTCTCTCAAGGAACCCGTGGACCAGGTCTCCCCAAGACCCCAGGCCTGACCAGACACCCCCAGACCAGTCTCAGACACCCCAGAGGCCCCAGACCTGCACTGCGGTCTCAGGGCACTGACCCCTAGGATCCAGAAGGCCAACCCGACCCGTCCCTAGGGGCCCAGTGAGCTGACCAGGCCCAGGTCAACCTCTTAGTTCCGGGAGACCCGGCCCAGAGCCCTTTCTCCAGGTTTGGGGGATGGAGGATGGGCAGTCTCACCCTGGGGCTCACCTGCTATGCTCTTCCTCCACCGGGTCACAGAAGCGCTATGCCTGCAGCCCCTACTCTGACGAGATCGTGATCCAGGTGACACCAGCCCAGCAGCAGGAGGAACCCGAGCTGCTGTGGGTGACGGGTCCTGTCCTGGCAGTCATCCTCATTGTCCTCATCGTCATTGCCATCCTCCTGTTCAAGAGGTGAGAGCTCTGGTGGAGGGCCACCTTCGCTTGGACCCCCAGGCCCTCCCCGGCCAGACACATGCAGGCCGGGGCAGCCACACCGGCCTGCATCCTGGGGTGCATGCTCCTGGGCTCGGAGAGAAGCCAGGAGAGGAGAAGCAGTGTGTGTGCACACACACTGGTGTGAGCCTGGGCGTGATGAGCAGCCACACCCTCACCAAGGACTTTTCAGGTGCATCCCCAGGGCATGTCCGTCTGTCTGTCTCTGTTTTGGTGGATGTGAGCACGTCTGTCTCTCAGCTTCAAAACACTACCTCCTCCTGGTCTCCTACCTTCAGCATCCTCTCTGCCACCAGCCCTAGACGACTCCCAGCCTGACTCCCCTGCCCAGGCCTTGAGGGGCCCAGACCCAGCTTCAGGTCCACATGCCCACGGACACTCACTTGACGGACGTTTATTCAGTGCCCGCTGTGACCACAGCATCCACAACTGTCCCAGACAGAGGGTGTCTTGACCTTTCCCACAGCCCTCCCCTGAGGGTCCCTGTCACAGGGGATGGGCAAACCCCCCAGTTACCAACTGGAAATCATCCAAGCGTCACCCTCAACCCTCCTCCCTCCCACTCCCCCCCCCAGTCTCTTGTGAATATCACTTGATCTGCCCCCCACCCCACCGTGAGCTCCCCACGAGGTAACACACACGCACGTGTTACACCTCAGTCCTGTCTCTTGCGTAGCTGCAGCCTCCTCCTTTTCTTAGCGTGCCCGTTCCTCTCTGTCCTCCTCCCAGCCTGAAGAGTATTTGCAAAGATTTGCTTTGTCACCCTCAATATAAAACTTCTCAGCTTTCACTAGAGAGTTTTATAGCCTGTCTGCAGCCTGACGGTCCATCAGATGCTTGGCTGCTCTGGCCCCTGCCACCACCCCCTACATCATCACTGAACTAATTCAGTTCCTGGCCGGCCTGGCCTGCGCCCTTGCACTGCACTCTTGTCCCATCCTTGGAGACTGCTTTCCAGGCTCTGGTGCCACGAGGCTCTGCCAGGCCCCTCCCATCCCCGCCTCACACTGTCCCCCACTGTCTGGTGGTGCTTCCATGGGAACATCGCTGGGCCTGTTTCCAGCACCCAGCACAAGGCTGTCAGCGCACGTGTGTTGGTTCTTGTGTCTGCACACAGGTACACACACGAGGGGGTCATCTCTCCCGACCCTTGACCCTGACCCTTGACCTAGACCCAGTGCCTGCTACCTGAAGTTAGCTCTTTCCTCCCAGGGTGAATAGGGACGAGCTCACCTGGTTCAGGGCCGGAAGACCCATGGGTGGGGAACCTGAGGAGCGACTCCCACACCCACTCAAGCCCCCTCCACTGCCGTCTGGGTCCTGGTGTACGCCGGGAGAGGTGACCCCCTCCCTGTGAATGCCACGTGGGTGCCATAGATCAGTCCGCAGTGTCCCCCTGTGTCACGAGAGGGCCTGAGTGTGTGTGGCGGAAACAGTGACGGTTCCTTTCTTCTGTCCTTGCCTGTCTTTCGGGACCTAGTAAACAAGAAAGGTAGGAGTCCTTCTTTCTCTCTTCACACGCCTCCCCCTTCACTTCTCGTCCCCGTGCACACTGCGGGCCCAGCGGGGAGGGGCGCTGCTTGGATCAGAAACCTCCTGGCCTGTGGCTGGCTGATCAGCTCAGCAGATGCCGGGTCTGGCTCTGTCACTGTCTCCACCTGTGGCCTGCACAGGGGGGTGCCCCTTCTCCAGAGACGGGCTTAGCTCAGAATGCCAGTGCTTCCCATGCATGCACAGGCTGACTCTGAACTCCCCAGAGCCTACCTCCAGGCTCCCAGGTGTCTGAGGTTACTGCAGCTCTGCAAGAGACAGAGCCTGGCCTGTGTGCAAGGAGCGCTGGCTGCAGGGCAGTGGGGAAGTGTGGGGTGCACACTCACGCACACTCGTGTAAGTTTCCTCCCCTGATACTGCTGTGTCCCCTGCACAGAAACCTTAGATACTTGTCAGCAGATGGACCCCACAGTCTGTCTTTGATCCTGTCCCCGTAGACTGGGGAGCTGAGGCCAGCAAGGGAACACTCTGCCCAGCTAGGGGAACGCCTTCCCCTGCTGCTCTGCGCTTTTACCCTGATCCCAAGAGCCAGACAGTGGGGGCCCAGCTCTCTATGATGTTTGCATATTTTATGTGTCGTTTGCATGTTTACTCCTGGTGGCTCCTGCTGCCTCAGCGTGGGGGTCTTGTGGACAACAGCCACTGCCCAGCTGTGACCTGTCCCCATGGGAAGGAGCCACCAGCCTCTGCGACCCCTTCCTTCCTTGCTGTGCTGGCCCACTGTCCGCTCCCTACTCCTGCTCTCTGCCCATCCCCACCCTGTGGCCCTGGCTCCCCTGTGCTCAGAGACCCCAGGCTGGGATGGGAGGGGCAGAGCTCTGGGGCAGCCGGCCATGCCACGTGTCTCTGCCTCCGCCTGGACCTCGGTTCTCACCAACCACCCTTCTGTCTCTCCAGGAAAAGGACCCAGTCCCCATCATCCAAGGATGAGCAGTCAACTGGGCTGAAGGACTCCTTGCTGGCCCACTCCTCCGACCCCGTGGAGATGCGGCGGCTCAACTACCAGACCCCAGGTAGGGTGGCTCCCCCAGCCTGCCTGCCCCACCTGGGTCTGCCAGTCTCTGCCCAGGGACCCTGGCCTCACCCTGGCCCCCGTCTCCTGTTCCTGCTTTCCACCCTTCTCCCTGTACCCACCCACAGTGAGGAAGTGACCAAGGAACCCCTGTATCCAGCAGCTGGACAGGCCTGGAAGCCTCAGTGGGTGGGGTGAAGCTCCTTAGACCCTGACCTGTCTTCAGTCAAGCCCTCCAAATATAGAGCTGGGACCTTCACAGAACCCATATCCCAGCCCCGGGGTGCCAGCCCCTATACCTGCATTCTGACCCCTGCACCCAGAAGAGGGCTTTGTTGGTGGGACTCATCAGATCTTGTGGCAGGATGGGGCTGTCTGCACCTGACCCTTCCTGGTGGCTGGGCCCAGATTTTCCGTGTGAGCCCAAGGAGGCAGCACAGGATTTGGTGCCTGCCCCTCCTTCCCCACCACTGTCGTGGTGTCTGGCTGTCATTCCCTATCTGCACCCCAGCAGACACAGCTCATTAGACTTCTTCCCGGGGGAGGCGGGGGGGGGGGGGGTCATTCCTCGGCTCCCAGGTGCTCCTTTCCATCATGACACCTCTCACCCTGGGCTGGGGTTGCCTCAGTGACAGTCTGAGCTCTGTGAAGCCAGGAACTGTCTTCCTCCTCCGCCATCTCTTGGGTTGGGCGCATGGTGGGTCTTGTTGAGCGCCTGTGAAACACACAGCTGAATGAATGAGTGAGCTCTAACACACACAGGGTTTGTGTGTGCACAAACTGCTTAGCGCTGCATGCTGAATGACCCCACCATTTCATGGCTGGAAACAACAGCAATGATGTACTAGTCTCACAGCTTTTATGAGTCAGAAATTCAGATGGGAGCATAGCAGGAGCAGCTTGTCTCTATTCCGGAATATCTGGGCCCTCAGCAGGAAGACTCAAAGGCCAGAATCATTTAAATCAGAGGTCAGCAAACTGTGGCCTGGGGCCAAAATGTGGCCCACCACCTGTTCCTGAAAATAAAGTTTTATTGGAACACAGCCATGCCCTTTCATACATGTACTGTCTGTGGCTGTTTTCACACTCTAGAACAGAGTTTAGTAGATATGACACATACCATATGTCTTCAAAACCAAAAATATTTACTTTCTGGCCTTTTATGGGAAAGTTTGCTGACCACAGAATTCTGGAGACTCATTCATTCCTGTGTCTGGTGCCTGACACTGGAGTCAGCTGTGGGTCCACCTGGGGTTTTCCTCTCTCTTCCTGCACCCTGGCTTCCTGTCAGCACTCCTGAGAGGGAGAGAGAAAGCCAGGCTGCTGCAACCAGGTGTGAGCAGATCTGCAAGGAATCAGAACTCCAGGGTGCTGGGGCCTGGAGGGCAGAGAAGCCTCCCCTGAGAGGGATGAGAAGCCCTGGGGGCCTTAGGCAGGCAGAGGGGCTGGAAGGGCACTCCTTTCGGTGACAGTGGCAGGTGCCGAAGCAACTCGGCGGCACTGTGTCCTGTAGCATTGGAGCTGGGCGTGTTGAGAGCCCAGAGCTGAGTCTGGAGGGTGAGTCACAGAGGGTGCCTGCACGCCAGGCTAAGGGGTTTGGGCTTCATCTTGAGGGCGCCAGGGAGGCATGAAGGGTTTTCAGCAGGGGAGCAGTGGGGTCAGAACTGTGCTCTAGAAGTGTCATCCTGGCTGTGGTGTGGAAGGCAGATTGGAGGGGGAGAACCTGGGGAGGCAGACTGCTGTGAAGGACCTGGACGTGGGGCTGGCCGTAGAGGCCTGCCTGAGCAGCAGAGCTTGGGCTTGATTCCCTGCGGGGTGAGGAAATAGGGGCAGGGGTCCCAGGTTGCTGGTTGACAGTGGGATGGGAGGTCCAGGGGGACCTCCACGCCAACATCCTAGCAGGAACCACAGGAGAGGGACGTGCCAAGGAGCACGCAGTGGTCAAAGCCTGCAGATAGATGAGCTCTCCCCCGGAGAGGGTGCAGGGAGGGGAGAGCGCGGCCCAAGAGCAGCCAGGGAAGGAGCTGGAATGTTGAGAAAGGGCAGATGGAAGGATGGTCAATGAGGGGGACCCAGACAGAGAACGTACGGGAGAGGAGTGTCTCTGAGGCCAGGCTGAGAGGGCTGTGTGAGAGCCTGCGGTTTTAGCACTTGGAACCTAGGAGAGGTCCAAGTCCTGGGCAAGGAGCCTTGCAGTGGGGGATGAGCCAGTGGATATGCAGGCCGGGCCGGGGTCTGGATCCCTGTGACTGTAGGGATCTGAGAAGGGAAGGCAGGGTGGAGCACAGGGGATCTGAGGTGGTGTTACAAGGGATGGGGGACCAGAAGGACAGGAGGCCGTGGCCTGGGGCAGGCCTTGGGGCAGGGCACGCTGAGGGTCATCAGAGGTGCTGAGGTCAGGGGACGAGGCTGCTGGCCGGGAGAGGGGTCTCTGTGCGCAGGGTTATCCAAGGAGGGAACCAGTGACCAGAAAGAAGGGTTGGCTGGAATGGCGGCAACGCTGAGGGTCCCCCTTCCCATGTTTTTAGTTCAGCAAATGTTTATTATTTTCCCTCGTGATCTAACTTTCCTTCTGAAAATGCTTGAAGTGAGCAGAAGAGCTGAGAGAGCAACGCGGTCCCCATCTGCCCATCCTTGCCGGGGACTCACCCTTCTGTCTCACCGCACATGCCTTCCCTCTCTCTAAAAGCACACTTCTCTTTTGCCAAATGATCTGGAAATAGCCAGGGTCAAACTTGGTTACCAGAGGCCACAAGGCTGGCTTGGACCTAGAATTTCATCACAGAACGAGGCCCCCAAGGCCGCACAGGCTCTGGGGGGTGGGAGGGGGGCATCTGTCACTTGAGGTGGGTGGAGCCGAAGGGGCTGCAGTGGGCCGGCCCTCCGAGCCCCCCAGACCCCCGCTGGCTGCAGTCCAACAGCGATGTAACCAGAGGTTAACGGATGTCCTTCTCTTGCCCCGCTGTTTTTTTCTTTCTCTCTGCAGGTTCCAGTGTCCCCAGTTGCCCGAATATCTCAAGTTAGTTTTTCACGTTCCCCGTTTGGGGCCCACTCTGGCTTCTGTGCGTCTCCTCTACTTCTCTCACCCATTGCCTCTGTCCTTCCTTGAGCTCTTCTCTTCTCCGTTCCTGTCTTCGCTCCACCTTCTCACCCCCGTCTTTCCCTTCTGCGTCCCGCTCTCTCCTCACCTCGTCCCCTTTCTCCAGCCGCCCCCTCTCGTCTCTGCCTCTCCCACCTCCCGCCTCAGTCCGACTCCTTTCTGGTGCCTCTCCCATCTCCTTGCCCCAGTGTCTCCCTCCTCTTCTCTACCTCTCCCTCCGAGTTTCTTCCTTATCACTCTGCCGTATCTCCGTACGTCGTGATCACTCCATCCACATGCTGGGTGCTGAGACGATGACGTCACAGAGCCTCCCATGGTGACTGGCGCCTTGAGGGCAGGAGCGCTGTCCAGAGGAGGGCCCGCGGGCAGGGCACAGGCTGAGGCCGCCCAGCCCTGTCCCGTCCGCTGCCCTCCGCCTGGGTGTCCGGCCCTGACCTGGGAGGAGGACCAGCCACTCAGCACCGTGTCACCTGGCCATGCCCACTCGCGTCCACGACATACACACCCCACCCTGTCCCCTCCCGCCCCCGGCCGCTGTGTGCCCCGCCACCCCTGTCGCCGCATGCGCCGCTGTCTCCATGCCACCAGTGCCGCGTGCTCCATGGTTACATGTGTTCACATGTGCACATACATGCATCGGGCTGTCTCCGCCACCTGCTCAGGCCTCACGCTAACTCTGCTCATGTACCCGCCCTGCTCCCAGGTATGCGAGACCACCCGCCCATCCCCATCACCGACCTGGCTGACAACATCGAGCGTCTCAAAGCCAATGACGGCCTCAAGTTCTCCCAAGAGTACGAGGTGAGCTATCCCTTCCCCGCCACCCCCACCACCGCCATATGCCTGGCCCCAGGCCAGCTCCTGTCCTGCCTCAGGCCCCTTCTGTGTGTTTGGGGAGCGGGTGGTGGGCTCTAGGCTGCTGCCCAAGAGCACAGACAGAAGGGGTCAGCAGTAGCCAGTGGGGAACTCAGCTTCTTAGGTACCTGGCCTGGTCAAGACCCTTTTAGGCACGCCCTGATGAGGACACAAAGTCACATGCCCCTGAGCTAAGGGAGGCAGATGGAAGGTCATAAACACAATCAGTAATAACAGCTGGCGTTTGTAGATAGCTCCCTGCCAGCCAGCTCCAGGCTAGGGACTCTGCATGTACCATCTATTTATGTTCTCCCTACAACGCTATGAGATGGGAACTGGTGTTATCCCATCTTACAGATGAGGAGGCTGAGGCTCTGAGAGGGGAATGACTTGCCTAAGGTCACGTCACTGATGAGTAGTGGAACCCATCTGGCAGCCTGTGCCTGCATATGCGTGTGCTCAGAGTGCCTATCACAGAGATGGGGAGTCTGGGAGCCTGACTCCTGCCGCCTGGGCTGCATAAACCCTCCTGCTCCGGGCCTTCCAGGTGCCTCCTTCACCATGGTTTCAACTCTGCCTGCTTCCAGGAGGCGCTAGTGGTAAAGAACCCGCCTGCTAGTGCAGGAAACATAAGAGACGTGGCTTCGATCCCTGGGTTGGGAAGATCCCCTGGGAAGAAAATGGCAACCCACTCCAGTATTCTTGCCTGGAGAATCCCATGGACAGAGGAGCCTGGTGGGCTACAGCCCATGGGGTCATGACTAAAGCAACCGAGCACGCATGCATGCTGGAGGCTCGGACTTCTAAGCACTGCTCCTGGAGTCAAGGCTTCTAGCTCCCAGCTGGAGAGATGCTTTGCTAGTGAAGGAGGTGATGAGAGCCCAGACTTCTCTGAGGAATACTGGCGAAGGTGTTGTTAAAGGCTCCCAGCGCAGGCCTGGCACAGGATTCGCCTCGGTGGATGATGGATGGATGGGTGATTGAAGGGCTAGCTCTGCCCTGCCTGTGCATCCACTTCCCTCCGGTCACATGTCCTTCCACTTTGCTTGCTGTCCTGGGCACCAGGGCTCCACTTCCAAGGGCTGTGGGTCAGGTTTCCGCAGAGGAAATTGAGCTTGGCAGGCGAATTGATGATCACATCTGCCTAGAGGACAGGGTGCTGCCTCTTCCTGTGGAGCTCCCACTGGGGGGCCTGCCCTGCCCAGGGCCCCCCACAAGGGGAACGGAGCCACCGAGTCCGGCTCCCTGCCTCCAGTTCCCATGAGGCCTTCACTCATCCAGTTCCACGTCCCACTAACCCTTCCTCCTGTGGGGCCCTGCACCCCACTGTCCAGGCCTGCGATGTCCTCTCACCTTCTGCCGCTTCTCTGCTCCCATCTGCGCTCCCCTTATAGACCTTCCTTCTCCAGGAAGCCACCTCTGGCTACCCTGGCCTGCCGAGAGCTTTTCTGCAGCCAGGATCCAGTAGCTCTGTTACCTTTAATGATCAGCAGTATCAAGCACTTAGCCCGTGCTAGCTACTGGGAGTGTGGAGACAAGTGCCCACAGGGAGCTCAGTCGGTGGGGAGATGAGTGCAGACAGAGAACGCTAAATGTGACCTCATGCCATGGTGTTAAATATGCAGATGTACAGAGAAGGTCCTCCAACAGCAGCACGAAGCAGGCAGGCTAGGGGTGGGGTGTGTTGGGGTCTCACAGAAGTGCTCACTGACCTGGGGAGAGTAACAGGCTGGTACAGAAACCATCAGGCAGGTGGTGTGCTATGCTGAGAACTTCGGGTCGTATTCATCTGTAAAAGGAGGGTAATAATAGAACTGGTTTCATAGGAGGATTGGGAGAGGGAATACACAGAGGACAGAGAATAGCGCCATGCACACAGTAAGTTTTTGCTGAGATTCAGCTGTTGTTTTTATCATCCGAAGTGACAAGGACCCATGGAAGGCATTAAGCAGGGAATTGATCATCAGATCGGCATTTTATAAGGATTATTTGCTGGATGCAAGACAGAAAGAGGTAGGGAAAGAGGCAAAAGAAAGAGGCAGGGAGATGCCCAGCTGAGCGGGGGTGGCCCAGCTGAGGCCCTGGCAGCAGGTTGGCAAGAGCCAAGGAGCTGGGGGAGCATCGGGACGTGGTGACGGATGAGACGGGGCACAGAGGAGTTCGGAGGATGACGGGCAGGTTGCGGCCGCGGCTTTGAGAGCCACAGCAGCAGAGCCAGATTTGCACAGGGGAGCCGATGAGCTCAGCTCGGCCAAGGCTGAGACTGAAGAAGTGTGGGGCGTCCTGGTGGGATGTCAGGGTCCTGTGGGCTCTGCAGACCAGGGCTCGGGAGACTCGGCTACAGCTGAATTACGTCAGCTCCAGCATATGGGCGTGAGGTCCTGAGAGCCAGTGAGCTCATCCAGAAAAGGTTGGAGGGTGTAAAGAGGGCCGAGGAATGAGCCCCGGAGAAGCACTGTGTCCTGCCTCTGAGAAGGAACAGCCAGAGAGGCAGGAGGAGAGCTGGACAAGGCCATGCAGGCGTGTCTAGAGCCCAGCAGCATTGGGTCATGCACCGCCTCTCCCTTCTGCCCTCATTCGGTAGCTGGGTGCAGGGCTTGAGGGACTTCCCTGCCCACACCCCACCCCTACCACTCTCCTAGGCAAGGGGATTTGGTACCTTGGTCAGAGGAGTCTTCGGTCTGTCACATTGCTGACCAGTTCTCTGTGCCCCATGGCTGGGGAGCTGGGGCTCAGCCTTCCCCAGCACCATGGGACAGAGCCAGTGACTGTGGCCTGGGAGCAAAGGTGGATGTGGGCACCACCTGGAAGGCCGGGTCTCCTGGGGGCACTAGGTAGAGATCGGCTGTTGCCCAGCTCCACCTGCCTCCTTCATTCCCTGCAGTCAATTGACCCGGGACAGCAGTTCACGTGGGAGAATTCAAACCTGGAGGTGAACAAGCCGAAGAACCGCTACGCCAACGTCATTGCCTATGACCACTCTCGAGTCATCCTTACCTCCATTGACGGTGAGCCTAGAGTGGGGCCCCCTCCCATCCCCTGGCTCTCCTCCTCCTCCTCCTTACTGGGTGACGTCTCCTCCAGAAGAGGCCCACGGACTAGGTTGGAGGCCCCGAGATAATGCTCTCCCGCGTCCCTTCTTGCCCGTAGGTGTCCCCGGGAGTGACTACATCAACGCCAACTACATTGATGGCTACCGCAAGCAGAACGCCTATATTGCCACGCAGGGCCCGCTGCCTGAGACCATGGGCGATTTCTGGCGGATGGTGTGGGAGCAACGCACGGCCACTGTGGTCATGATGACGCGGCTGGAGGAGAAGTCCCGGGTAAGGCTGTGCGGCAGGGCCCTGCTGGGGTTGGGGGGGGCAAGTATGGATATTCGGCCACCAGGTGACTTCGGCCGCCTCTGCCCGTCCCTGTGGGAAGACGCCCTTCAGGGGACTTGCCAAGTGCTACTGTTCTCCTGGGTTGTCCTCCTATCCCAGCTGCTGGGTGCTCCTGGGACATGGCATGTTCCCCAGACGCCAGTGGTTTCCTACCGTGTTAATATGTTGTCCCAGATGCTGTCATTTTCCAAGAATGTTAATATGTCCCCCAGTTACTGCATGTTTCTGGGACGTTCACGTGTTCCGTAGATGCTGGAGTGTTGCTGGGGCCTTAACACATCTCCTAAGTTAATTAGTGGAAAGAGCTGCTGTTATTTGCTTTTGCACAGCAAAGCATTGACTGGAACATAAAATTTACAAAGCTTGAAAATGGTGTATAAACGTTATGGGTAAATTTGGCAGAAAACGCACCTGGTGCGATCTGGTCATGAATAAATGATTTTCAATTACGTCCCTCATTCCCCTCGCAAGGGCAGGGGTGGCGGCCTAGTGTGAGACCCTGAGGGTCTCATGAGGGGGTGGCATGATGAATCTGAGATCTCGGGGGCTAGGGGCCTGGCAGCTAGCACAGCTGGACCTTCCGCCAGCTCCTGCCCTGGGCCCTGCCTGTCTGAGCCTTTGAGTCCCTCTAACGCCC